AAATAAGAATTTGATTTGACGATGAATATTACGGGTAGTAACATATTGAAATAAGACAATATCGTCAAAGCGATTCCTCCATCATGCCTGATAAATAATACTTTAGTTTTAAGGAGAATTTGAAGCTCAGTGTTTACTAAATATATAGCTTTTCTAATTGACTTACTGTCGTACAAAACATGGGACAATGTCATTAGGTACTAGACTCTCTAGCCACGTAGAACACACGCCGTGATGAACTGGGCCTCTACCACCTTCAATAGAATAACGCACATGTAATTTTGGTACTGACATCATCACATTACTAATGTTATAAAGCTATCTTACCTCGTTTTGTAAACCTAACTACAGCTACTGTCACGTGGACCTCTCCTGGGTACAAGTCTTGTGATGAAGAGATAGAATAGAAACGCTGTCAGAGAAACACAAGAAAGATTATTACTGATGGATGTCATTAAATTGGCGCCTAAATAGACATGTACTCACAGGTTGTAGTAATGGTAGTTGCGTAAGGAGCAATTCTGCGTTGACTTTCAGTGACGGGAATTCTTCTAACACCTCAACAATATTGGCTTGTTTGTCGTACTTCCAGTTCTCGTAACTCGTGTCACCCTGCAGTCGCAATGAAACAATTAATGAAAAAAAACTTTTACTAACTGTTTTTTCTTAAGGTCACTCACATACCTTTCCTAGTTCTTCCAACAACTTCTTTTCATCGGGATCAGTAGCCTGTTATTTAAACAGATAGTTCAATTTACCATGGTTATCCTTTATCCTACAACGAATATCTGGTATTTCCTTACACAGCCATATTGTAACGTCGKTCAGAGTAACTTATTTCTAACGCACCTGYGTAGAGAGGTAGTTGAGTATCTGTGGTGCTGGTGTGCCTGTGATATCGATGTGTCGACTGAATGCTTCTCGTAGCGTTATGGGTACTGGAAACCGCCCCAGCTTCTCCCACTTCTTGGTCGTTCCAAAAGGACCTGAACAAGACAGCAAGACAAGTCAGTCACAACGTATACGTATAGATTGCTTTACAAACGGCACACGGTATACATCAATATTTGAACCAACCCCAGATAAACCATTCGAAATGCTTCGCGTCACGCTCTATATTACCTGACATTTCACGTGAAGCCTCGACTGTGATTGGCTGATCAGGATCAGGTGCCTGACACAGACGGTCTAGTAATGACTGGACTACTGACTCCTTGTTAGCAGGGAATAGAGATAAATGGTCGCCTGGTTTGTATTTGAAGTCCTCGTTATTACTCGTATCTAGACGTACCAGTAAAGTTGCGCGGCTTCAAAAAAGAATCAACAATAGCATATCAGGAATCACATAGGTAGTGGTGGTGTGATGTAGATGTAGGACCTCTTCACACTAGTATACAACTGACATTTTTAGGTTCCAACAAACCCACACAGTAGATCCGTTTTCACCTCTTAAAACTAAGCCTATTGTTAAAATCTCCTTCACACCTTGAATCTGGTGATTGTAGATTTTTGACTGACATGATTTTGGTTGGTATGATTGTCTTGTTGTGAGACACGGAAAGATCTGTCAAGAAAAGATAAAAATGGTTTTAGTACATGAAAGCCAGTGATACATCGTACAACACTGCATGACCCCAGAGGGGAGGAGTGGAGAGTTCTTTTATAACACATCATGATGAGGGGAATTGCTTCTACATACTAGTGCAAACGTCTTGTAGCTTCTCCTTGCTTTTAGTAAATCTGTACTTATCAGGTGACCAACCGCTGGATATAGTGTTCAAGGACGCATCAGCTTCTTCAATATTCACGTCTTCACCAACACAGAATGTTTCACATGCAGCCTGTCAACAATCATTGTACGCATGTTCAAAATAGATGATTACTAACCAGCTAGATCTATATATGCTGAAGTCTTACTTTACCTTAAATACATTCTTTGCCCAAGTCTTGAACGCCTCTTCCTGTCCACATAACTCATCTCCTTCACCCATCTTGTAAACCTGCTCTCCGCCAAGCTCTTGAATGATTTTATCAACAGACTTTGCGAACGCACAAAAGTTGGGATAAGCACGTGACCCAAGGCCAAAAACAGAATACCTGTCACGTGGACCCAAATATTAATAAATAATATATAATTAAATATTTAATAGTATTGAAGGTTTATTGGTTTATTTCAGTCAGTATACCTCAGACTAGCTAAACGTAGTTCATCGTCCTTCATATTCAAGCCTTTTTCCTTTTCTTTCTGGATGAGAAGACTGCTGATCTGCGCGGCCATTTTGTTGTTTTCTGTTTTTCTGAGCAAATTGAACAAAGAAGTGGGATTTGCATTATTAGGTCAAAATAAAATGTTCTCTCTCTCTGGCTTGTCCTCTCTCTCTAGCTATTCCTTGAAGTATTTGATACTGTTTTACTTACTCGTTGGTAGGATGACGTAATTCATAAAGGTACCGAGCAAATGACTGAAATCAAAGGTCCAAGCGTTAGTAGAGTCGGTTGTATTAAGAGTAACAATTTCATTATTGTATCATCATTAATGCTTCATTCATTAAACGAAGACTATAGGTCTTCACGGAGCAGATTTCGTATGACTGTGAAAAAGAAGGCACAGACGTGCCTTGATCAGGATCGTGATACTACAGTGCAGTGGTTGTGATGGTACCGTGTCGTGCCGTGATCGTGATAGTGATGGTACAGTGTCATGGTTGGGATGGTACCGTGTCGTACCGTGATCGTGATGGTACCGTGCCGTGCCGTGATGGGGATGATCATGGTTAGGTTGACACGTATCCGCGCATTGTGAATGAATGAGCATTATTCCTCCGCGCTGTGCAATTGGTAGTTGATGTGAAAGGTCACTTACTTCTCCATTCTCTGGCGGATCACCATTCCCAAACGTGCTCGTTACGATTAAAACCAGTTGTTCGTTTTCCAGCTCAGGATGAGGATAGTCATTCATGCACATCACCTTCAAAATATCATTTCCTTTTTTGAGAACGTTCTTTACTTTCTTACTTATAGATTATAAACACTACTTAATTGTAGTATTACATACCTTTGGATCAAACGCATGTAGAAACATCTCACTGAGCATCTTGGCGTAGTTCTCAGATTTGCCAGTTTCAGTAGCGTACAGAATAATGGCTTTGGTTCTTTTGGCCATGGCGTTACCCATTAGTTTGGCTGAAAATTTAACGGCCCTGAAAGCAATGAATAATATCTCAAGAAGACTATTCAACCCCCAAATGAGGATAAAATGAAGGAAATAATTGAATTACTTTGCTACTTCTTTGAAAGTTATCTTCTTCTTGGGCAAATCAGATTCTTTTCTCTTGATGCGATAATGCTTCCAGGGATCGTCCTACGAGACACACACACAACAAAGCACTTATTAACTGATAAACTACCATTAGAGACAAGAAATACCTTGTCATTAATCGATTATACCTGATATTCGTAGCTCGGTTTGAGAGAGTAATTGAGCAATTCCTGTAAAGAAAAGTAACAATGTTTAGCTACAGACAGACCGTTATTTGACAAGTAAACTAAAACATGAATAGAACGAAAAGAACTAATGTGATGACCTGATGGAAGACAGGAGTAGACGAGCCTGACACAGGAGGAACGATCCACACCCAATCACCAGGGCAACCACCACGAAGCTTGTTCTAGATCACAAAAAAATATAGTATTTCTATGCAATAGTACTAGTCCAYTGGGATAAGCAAGGTAAGATATATTGACTAAACACAGATATGGCTCAGTGACAAATCCTTATCGCGGGTTACAGGAGTTTGTAGCTATTCGCATCGCATTGACTTCCTTTATTACATGGCTTCAAAAAGTCGAAGACAAGTGATAGTGCTAAGGCACTGGAGGAGAGCTCARGCTAAAGAGGCTGCGTGATAGTTAACTTTTGTGCTCGACCACGCGTTATGACGTGACGTAATGAGGCGACAAGTGCATGACAAGAGACGTACCTCATTCTCGAAGTGTTTCATAAAGGATTCTGATGCCGAGTGGTGGTCAGTGATGGTTACATTCGCCTCCTTTAATATACAACCAATAAAAACAGGTTTATTAAATGTCTAATATTACTGGATATTAATATGTTGTACTGAATAGAATACCTGGAAGCTATGCAGTACAGCAACATTCATCTCAATACAAGCCAAGTCCTTCCACAGTGAAGCATTACTTTTTGTGTCTAGACCCATCTTCTTGGCTACAGGCTGAAATATGATTGGACAAAACTCCATTTGATCTCAGGCTAAATGAGATCAAGGCTATTAATAGAAATCATATCTTTGAAAGCGAGATGTACACCTACCTCAAGTAAGTTGTAACGAGATGGATCACCTAAATCACGTGCTGCAATCTCTGTTTCCATGTACCTAAACGAATAAAGAAGAAATGCATGAAAATAGAAGACAATCCTCCGTGTTGAAAGAAAAATAGGAAAGTACTCACCAGCCATTGAAAGGACAAGCTGGAAACTCTAAGCCACCAACATCAAGACAAATACACGAGACGGCAGGCAGAGCATACCATTTTAGACCCATCTCTTCAAACCATGAGTACCTATAACAGAACGATTAAAAAAAGTACTGAATATATGTCAAGTAAATATGAAGACGCGGCTTGTGAGATTGAGGTGAGCATCAGATCACTGCTCCTCCAGACACTGATAATCCTTTGGGCCGATTGATTGCTCATTCAGACAAGCACCGATTGTCTTCAATGCACGCAAGGTCTTCAAAGTCAAACCCAATTAATCTGTTCTAACAATTATCTCCTCGAACTGCCCATTGCTGCGATAACAATTTATTAATAATAAATCTATTTTGTTGCACATACTTTGGATGCTTGAGTTTTACTTCTAAAACCAGTTCAGGTGGAATCTCAAACATTTCAGGTTCTTCTCCTCCAGCTTGTAAGACAAGAGGTAGAACATCAAACTGACCACCTTTTGGCTCCCATCCCATAGAAATACATATCTGAAGTGAGAAATGATGTTAATGTACACATATGTGTGTTTATGTAATAGGGGAGCTCCCGCGCGGAGCACCATACTTAAGGTGACTGCCTACTTTTGGAAATTGATTTAAGCTTATTTTAAAACTTCGATTTTCCGAATTGAAATTTAATTCTGATTCCAAATCTGGAAAGAAAAATAGGGTGTCCCGAGCTCGTTTTCGAGATAATCAGTATTTAATGGAAGCCTACGCACGAGCTTTTGGAGTAAAAATTGCGCCACCGGAAGTGATTAGGAAAAAATTAAGATTAATAAGATAATAGTTATTTGCAGACTATATGATTGCACGAACGAAGGCTAGTCAATCATTCTATAATAATACATGGATATTTTCGACAAAAAGACAGAGAGATACATCGATTTGTTATATTTTGTGGTTTCGGTGCTCTTAAAAAATCTCATAAAGTCGAACAAAAATCCCTACAAAAATCTATTTTTTCACGTGTTCCTGATTTAAACTTTTCCTAAAATGTTGATATAACCTAGATTTTTAGGAGTTTTTTCGAATGAGCTATCAAAAAATATAGAGTCCCGTGCAAAATTTGAGGGTTTTGCCCTGTTGAAGCTCAAAACGCGTATGGTTCTTCAATAAAATCTTGTAGATTTTTCAGCGGTTTTTGAGCGCGCGCAAATCGTGGGCTCAAATCGAACGTTCAAAAGTAGGCAGCCACCTTAAGAAAAAATGGTAAACCATCGAGTTGATTTTTCATGGTTTGGCTGACGTCACTTCTGTCCGTACGTACGGGCATCTGACACAAGAATCCCGATTGGCTGGTTAGATTATCTTTTTATTTTGGCGGGAATGTCGACGCGTTGCAACATCCGGGTACACATAAAGGTACACATTCGGCTTTTGTAAAAACAACTTTTTTACACCTGTTATTACGTATAGAAATACCGAAAGATAACAACACAATTTTTTTTTCAAGCTTATATTTATATTTATATTTACTCTATTTACGATGGAACCCTTTTCCGAAATCGATCGATACGTCGAAAGAAAGCTCAGAGGAGAAGAAGTAAAAGAATTTTTTCGGAAGAGGAAAAGCTCTGGAGGCGTGAAAAAGAAAGGCAAAGACGAAGGAATCTCACCGAAGAAAAGCGGCAATCAGAGAGAGAGAGAAAACGCAAATCCAGGCGGGACTTCGATTATGAACAAGGAGAACATGATCGTGAAAGAAAAAGGAATATGAGGCAAAACTTGACGGATGAACAAAGAGAAAATGAATGTGAAAAACAAAGGAATTTGAAGCAAAACTACTAGCTAAGGCTCTCAAATGCACAGAAAATATCGCTTTAGGGCAAGTTATAGACCAAAGACAAGTAAAAAACTTTCATGTATTCAAAGATGGATCAAGAAGTGTCTTCAAGAATTCAGGTGTGTGTTTTTTAGCAAACAATCGTTTTTTTCTCACTTTAACCAGTTTTCAAGTCTGTTTTATAGTCCTGATTTGCCCTTAAAGAATCGAGAATCTCCAAAATTTAGATTTCAATGAAAGACATCCAAGTTAAATTTCACTAAACCTGATATTTTGTCAGTGGATTGTCTGTAGTTATCTTTCGTCTTTTTAAAGTAAAACTAAACAGGAATTCAAAGCTTAAAAATGTCGGCCATGGAAAACTTTGTCGAAGAATCTTCAAAGAACAAAACTAGCCCCTGGGGTGGCTGGTGGTGAGTTTCATTTGTACAAAATTCCTCAGTGGGAGAGTATAATCGCGCATAGAAAACAGTGTAGTGCATTTTGATTCGATTTCAATGCATGGTTTTTATTATGGGATGCGCTATCTTCATCTCGAATGAAAATAATTGAAGATTTTTTCCGGATCTTATTTTTACCTTTCAGATTCATTGAAATTGGGCTCCCTGACTCCCTAGTTTCGTATCGGGAGGTCCGCTTTTAGGCAGTGCCTAAATATATTATAATATATATGACACACTTACTTCAGTCAATTCTGCGTTAGCTGGGTCGCCGATGATGGAGCCATCTTGTTGACGATAACCAGCGTATGTTATCAACTGACCGTTCCACACACGGAAATCTTTCTTGGGTTCCTTACGTTGAGGAAACACAGTGATAGTAGACCTACGAAAAGTATAAATGAAGATTATAATAATAATGGAATTGATGCCATAAAAGGTATTTTAGCGTTTTACATAACACAAGTCATACCTAATGTTACCCTTATTGGTACCATATTTGATGTGTTTAATTATGGCATCAAACATCCCTCGACTAGTGAAGACATCACGGGCATCAAATAGCTAACAATACAAATATAATATTATCATCAGTAATACATTGATTACTACGTTGACCCTGTCGATCTAGGATAGACCTGAAAATTCCTGGAAAAGGGGTTGGTATTAGAATTTGTAGGGAACGACTGTCATCGGAAAATGTGGCAAGATCAGTCGGCTTAAACCTTTCCCTTACACCTCATCATTCCAGCCTCATTCGTTTGGGCATCATATTTTACTATCATAATCTCCCTACGCAGTAGTGCGTGTTATAGTGTGTGTTTATTCAATGCCACTAATACCCACGTGTAGTCTGTTCCATTGTATTCTCMYAATGCATCTTGGGGCATTCCTCCATGCCATGCGCRCACCGAACAAGAGTTCCTTCTCAGTCAGATCATAGGTACCAGTCTCCTCTATCTCCTTCAGAACCTCGGCGAGTCTTGTCGCATGCGCTGGACTATCACCCCTACAACAAGATTCATATATTATGATGGGTTTGTGTCAAAATGGTGACATGGGTTTGTAAGAATGTTGAATTTTGATGAATTCTTATACACTRATAATTTTTACAGGGTGGAGAAAAAGCGTAATACCCGAAGAAAAACTCCCAAAGTACAGGAAAAAACCAACAAGCATTTCTGTTGACATATGTAACAGAGATCTGTGATCGATCTTAGTTCGCACTGCAGTTGAAAGACGAGCACGAACGCTACCCTTGTATAAACAAATGCTATTAGTTAGCTAGTGTTTGACTTACATTTTCATTGAAGTGTAATACTGTTCTATAAAGTCCTCAGCGTGTATCGCCACTTCCTCTTTAGGTCTAGGTATCCCATAAGCCCTTGGGGGTGCCACTTCTCCTCCATACGGCCTCATTAAAGATCCTTCACATCTTGCTGGGGTGCAGTTTAATGGCTAAAGAAATAAATATACAAGAAGAACAGTCAGAATCAATCACCAGGGCTCGATAGTCAGTTACATTTCTGTAAGCCGCGACTTCATGCTTCAATGTGGTTAATCGAAATAGACTATAACCCTGATGATCTTTCATGCCTAAACTACCACAATCCTCTTCTGAATTCTCATTTCATATTCAAATGTTGAAATTCCTTTGAGAATACCAAGATAGTGAAAATTAGCATAATAAAGAAAGCTAGCGAAAGGGAGGATTTTTGAAGTGCAGTAGGTATAAGTCGGCATAAGATGCTTGAGGCCAATATATTTTAAGAACAAATCCTAGCTAGTCAGATGAAAGGTCGTTTGCCGCCAGTCTGCGGATTAGAAACTTTATTTTGTTGAAGTCTGAACTAGGCTTTGAATCTTGTTTACCCAGGCTATAGTAAAAGTCAAAACTATTCTATCAATGTTTGGTGATATCTGATAAATATATGATAACAAGACTAATACATTCAATCTTTTGACTTACAATCTTAGCCTTCTGATGAAGTGTATCGATTGTCTCTTTCCCTGTTTCCCAGTTTTTAAGTTTGATAATCTTCGGTGTTTTGGAGGTTTCACGCAAGGTACCAGTAAAGGGGCATTTCCTGATCGGTGACGTTAATGGACTAGCTTTGTTACTTTCCATCTTATTTTCAGGATGTTCATTCGTAGTTTTCACATCAACAGTAGTGGTTAAAATAGCTTGACCATTGGTTATTTGTTTGTCTTTTTGTTTGTGTTCTTCTGCAGGTGATGATGTTCCATTTGCTTGACTTTCCGTTGCTTGCTTTTCTCGCTGCACACGAGAAGTATTCGCAGAACCTGTTTCGGAGAAAGTCGTCTCCATCTCAGCCTTGGATCCATCTTTTGCTCGTACCTTTAAGGCTACCATACTTCCACTCGATATGTCATTCAGAATCTCTAATGCTTTCGCGAACGAGGTCTCTTGAAGTGACTTTCCATTAACCTCCAGTAAAACATCCCCAACACGAAGCATTCCGTTGGCTTCGGCTGTACTGCCTTTGACAATATCAGATATCGATACACATGGTTTTGTTTGTCGTTCTTTGACAAGGAAGCCAAGGCCACCGATTTTGTCTTTGACAAGTTTTGTCGATATGATTTTTAAACCGCTCATTCTGAACTACCAGTAAGCTACAAAAGAAAAACAAAAAAAGATCTTTGGTTTGCGAGACACCACTGAAATAATATTACTGTATGAACAAAGCACATATACAAACACGTCAGTAATAAAGTTCTAAGATATTGGCAGATTCGTGCCGAAGTATTTGTCAAGCACTACTATTCAAATAACATCAGATTCGATTCCGTTTCTCTTGTGACATGTGAACTCAATTAACAAACCCAAAACGTTAAAGTGCACCCAATAATAATTAGAAATATGGACGAAAATGAGAACGGAATTAGTCAAGTTACCTATGTATATGCAATAGCTACGATATTAATATCAAAGTAGCGGTTTTCCTTTTGTTATATCGATCGGTTCAACATATTTATATTGTATTTAGAGACCAAGTGATCTGTTGATCAATATCATCATAATGAGTATACGTGTAGACCAGACCTCACTTGGCGCGCAACTTTGACCCTACCCTAGACTTTATTTATGACTAGAGACAAAATGAGTTCTCTTTTATTTCCGACAGTAAGCCGACATAATGATAGGAGACTCTAGACATTTAGCAAACTGAACGGAAATGTTTCTTGTTTTGTCTTGATCGATCAGTCACTTGACATCATAACAGATAGGCAGAGAATGATTTATAGTTCATGTACCACTAGCCGTCTAGTCTCGTGCGAGAATCACAGATATAAAAAAAATATAATTCTGTCCTTTC